CACGACTTTGCTTTGTCTTGTCCCCTAGCGATACACCCGAATTGTCTTTGTTGCTTTTTTACTTTACACTTTGATGGGGCACTGGTGTAATACCAATTCTCCATCAAAGTGTTACACGAAATGGCGACGAAGACATTACTGTAGTAAGGCTAGGAGCCATGACAAAGTAGCGCTTTGATGGAGAATTGGTATAAAGCACTACGCAGCTCATAAGCGACCATTATTCGTTGCTTTGTTGTAACCTTGAGATATCGGTATTTTTCTGTAAGAGGTTTATTCAGCAACTTTAGTCCAAATGAATGAATGGTTTTAAGTGGGTTTGGAGTACATTTGCTCATAAAATTCTTATTGGAGGAAAATCATGGCTACAGCAGAATACGGTGTAATACAAGCAGCGGATATCCCCGAGCGTTTCGCCCGGGGTTGGCATATGTTGGGAAGCATCAGTCGTTTTAACGATGGCAAACCTCACAAAATCGAGGCTTTTGGTACGAAGCTTGTTGTTTATAAAGGAGAAGATGGTAAAATCAATATCTTGAACGCCTATTGTGTCCACATGGGCGGAGATTTATCTGAGGGCTTTGTTAAAGGTAATGATGTGGTTTGTCCGTTCCATGCTTGGGCTTGGAATGGTGATGGCAAATGTACGGATATCCCTTATTGCAAGCGCATTCCCCCCAAGGCTAAAACCAAAACTTGGCCGACCTTAGAAAAAAATGGCTTATTGTTTGTATGGAATGACCCTGAAAACCTCGGTCCTGATCCCGAAGTGGAGCCACCTCAAATGCAAGCCTGTATTAATGGTGAGTGGATGCCTTGGGAAATGATTTCTTGGAAAATCAACATCAATTGTCGTGAACTCGTTGATAATGTGGCTGATATCGGACACTTTGGCCCAGTGCATGGTGCGCCGGTTAAATATTACGCCAATGTATTTGAAAAACACATCGCAACCCAAGTTTTGGTAGCCTCTTCCGAACGTTTGGCAGAAGATGGTATTTTGCAAACGAGGGCAACCTATTTTGGCCCAGCATACCAAATTACTGAAATGACAGGACAAATGGGTGGAAACCCCATTCATGCTTTGTTGCTTAACTCTCATGTACCTATCGACCACAATAGTTTTATGCTGAATTTTGGGGTAATGGTGAAGAAGTACCCAGGGATGAGTGAAGAGCAAAACCGCGAGATTGCTAAAGCTTATGTCAAACAATCACAAGACGCTTTTGCGGAAGACGTGGCTATTTGGGATAACAAGGTTCGTATCGACAACCCGATATTATGTGAGGGTGATGGTCCCGTTTATCAGTTGCGCCAGTGGTATCAACAGTTTTACGTAGATCGAGCCAAAGTTGATCCTGCTTTAGCCGACAAAATGGTGTTCCAACACACCTATACTGAAACAGACTTAAAACCAAACTTGGACCACGTGGACGTTTAATTTTTTAAAAGAAGTGTGGTCAATTGTTGATTCATGCTTCATACCAGTTCCACCAATGTGCTAATACCAATTCTCTATCAAAGTGTACCGCGAAATGGCGACGAAGACATTACTGTAGTAAGGCTAGGAGCCATGACAAAGTAGCACTTTGGTGGAGAATTGCTATA